AGGGAGAGAGAATCTCCAGCAGATTCCCTGCTGAGCACAGAGCCCCACACGGGGCTCAATCCCACGAACCCGAGATCATGACCTGAGCTTAACCGACTGAACCACCCAGGTGTCCCTTCACTGTTATTTTCAAAAACTCAACAGAAGTGGGACAGAAAACCCAAAGTTATAGTTCTGTTCCTTCCCTCCCTCCTCCTGCCCCTCCTCCCTTGTTTCTGTGTTTCAGTAAAATAAACAAGATCAACAACTCTTACTCTTTTAGAGGCCAACATCAAATGAGGGGTATGGAAAAGGCTGGTCTGAGCGGGACCCCAGGAAGTCGTGCCCTGGGAGAGCCCCCCTGCAGACTGAACCACAGTGGGACTCCAGGAAGCCACGTCCTGGGAGAGCCCCCCTGCACACTGAGCCAGAGTGGGACCCCAGGAAGTCGCGCCCTGGGAGAGCCCCCTGCAGACTGAACCACAGTGGGACCCCAGGAAGTCGCGCCCTGGGAGAGCCCCCCTGCAGACTGAACCACAGTGGGACCCCAGGAAGCCACATCCTGGGAGAGCCCCCTGCACACTGAGCCAGAGTGGGACCCCAGGAAGCCACGCCCTGGGAGAGCTGCCCCACCGCACACTGAGCCAGAGTGGGACCCTAGGAAGCCACATCCTGGGAGAGCCCCCCTGCACACTGAGCCAGAGTGGGACCCCAGGAAGCCATGCCCTGGGAGAGCTGCCCCACCGCACACTGAGCCAGACTGGGACCCCAGGAAGCCACATCCTGGGAGAGCCCCCCTGCACACTGAGCCAGAGTGGGACCCCAGGAAGCCATGCCCTGGGAGAGCCCCCCTGCACACTGAGCCAGAGTGGGACCCCAGGAAGCCACGTCCTGGGAGAGCCCCTCACCGCACACTGACCCAGAGTGGGACCCCAGGAAGCTGTGCCCTGGGAGAGCCCCTCTCCGCACACTGAGCCAGAGTGGGACCCCAGGAAGTCACATCCTGGGAGAGCCCAGCCATACAGACTGAGCGTGGGACGCAGACTTGGATTGTCTGATGCTCTTCTTCGGTGATAAGCACTCAAATTGTGAATTTCTTCCTTCAGGTTAGGCATTCGTATTCCAAAAAATTAGAAACTGTTGTAACCCTACATTAGGTATACTTCAAAGCTTCTTTAAACCTACAACTTTATTTTATGTTACCTGCACAAAATCTCAGGAAGCAGTGAAGTGTTAACATCTTCTGCCGAACCTGTTCAAACAGACAAGGACAAGATCAGAAACAGCCTCAATGGGTGAAGCCACGGGGCTCTGGAAAGGCACAGGCAAAGGGCTCTATCTTGATTCCAGACCCAGGGCTCTTTCCCGTGCGCAGTGTGCCTTCCTGGCAGTCAGGCAGCTTCTCCTCGTCCTGGAGAGCCCGAGCTCTACGGTGCCTTCTCCACAGTGATCTCAGGAAGCTTCCTCACATTGGGATGATTTTGGACATTCTGCAAGCATTTGGTTTCTCTTGTTCTCTGCATTTTCTCTCTACACCCCCCACCACACACACACCTTGACTCAAGTCCGGGTGCTGGGATCCCAAACCAGCATCCTTCCCAAGGTACCGGGTGAAAGCACAACCAAGCCAATGGCATATTTAGAGGATACACACCTAAGACACATGCAGACATGTGTGTGCTGCCAGGGTGACAGGCTGGTGGGGTAGCCGCTGCAGGCAGATTCTAGAACAGCAACCGAGGGTCACACAGCTTCCTCAGACACAGACCGAGGTGCCACTGGAAGGGGTCTGAAATCAGTGGGCCCAACCGATCCCTTCACACTGGGGTCTGGAGGTCGGCGACCAGAAGTCAGGGTTTCACGCACTGAAAACCTGGTGCTGCCTGGCAGGTGTGGGGACACATGGCACGGAACGTGGGTGGGCTTCAGCAGTGACAGCGGCCCTGGCCCCGGGGTCCTACAAACTCAAGAACTGAATTCTGCCAACCATGTGAATGAGGCTTGAAGAGGCTCCCAACCGCAGGCAAGAGCAGCCGGCCTCTAGCTGGATTTCAGCCCAGTGAGGCCGGACAGAGCATGTGGCCAGCCCCTCTGCCAGACGCCGGCATGTGGGAGCCCTCACAGACCAGGACTCGGGCTGGTGGGTGCACTCACTGGTCACAGGACAGCAGATGGTGACTCAAAGTCCTCTTCACAACCATCAGCCCGCCAGCGGACATGCTCTTCTCCACGTGATGTTGGGGAAACGTGTCAACAACTAACCCAGCGGCCAAACCACACGATTCTCCATGAAACTCTGAACCATGCTTTACTGTGCAGCCCACGATTCAGTCCTCACCCATGGGGGGACGATAACCCATGATTCAGTCTTCACCGATGGGGATGATAACCCACGATTCAGTCTTCACCGATGGGGATGATAACCCACGATTCAGTCTTCACCAATGGGGACGATAACCCACGATTCAGTCTTCACCAATGGGGATGATAATCTACCTATGAGCACGGCTCCCGCTTGGCCTCTGACCCACCCCACTGCCACTGCCCCTGACCATGAGCAGAGCAGAGCTTCCAGCGGAGCCGTCCTGCAGGCTGTGGGGGCCACAGGGAATGAAAGCAGTCCCCCTGTGACAGCCAGTGTTTTATCCTCAAATACTTCAAATGACTTAGGTTTACATTGGCATCTACTCATTAAAGAATCTTCCAAAAAAATTTCAGGAAATTCAGGAACCTCAACCATTACTGAGCCAATTACTTTGGGGAAATCCTGGAGGAAGAGACCCCGGGGGTCCCCCCCAAAGATGGCAGCGGGGCCTCTGGCCACAGACTTTCTACCTCCTCCCCCTGTGTTTCTGATCCGCTCTGAGACACATCCTGAACACCCTTCCCAGGCTACATTTGTTCAAGATTTAAAAAATGGTTCAACCTGAAATTAATTTTTATAAAAAGAATACACTGTTTGATTTAGAACTGGTGTTTTCTAAACGTGTTCCTTATACTCCCCACTTTCTCCTTTGGGAGAAAATACAGCAGAGCTGTTGGATCCTGTCTGTTCAGGTCAAAATGGGACCAAAGGGTCTTCCAGGGAAGGCGGGCCTCGTGGCTCCTCTCAGCCCCCAAACGTGGGCATTAACACCAGCAGTGTTAGGACAAACAGGTTTTATAAAATGAAGCTTGAGTCCCGATTCAATATTTTGCTATTTTGCACCTTCCTGCCCATATTAACACCTTGCTTAAAATCAAGAAGATGTCAGCAGAGTTAAAAGACCCAGAACCTTCATGAAACAACATGCTCTTGTCTCATGAGGCGTCCCAGGGCTTCCAGTGTGCTGGCGGGCTCAGCAGCATTCCCACCGGAACTGGGTGGAGTGGCAAGCACTGGCCGTGTGCCATCCCGTAGGCGCATCGTGCTCATCACCATGGGCGCTGGCCTGTGGCCTGATGGGCGGGCTCTTTGTTGACAAGAAGGAGACCCGTCTCAGCACCTCAGGCAGCCACCTGGCTAGTAAGACACGGGAAGGTATCATCACTGGCGACGTCACCGTGTGCTCCGTGAAGGGGCATTTTGTTGTGCACCCTGCGGACGTCACTGGGGGCACCACCCGTGAGAAACAAGCACACTGACCCTCCGACCAGAAGCTGGTCCGCGTCTTCCCTTCCTCGAGAGAGACAGCAGAGAGGCTGGCCAGCAGGTGCTTGGTGACATTCAGTGGCCCTAATTTTCCAAGAGCCATTTATTCAAACACAGGGGTAGGCAGAGCTCAAAGAGCATGAGCCCCAGTCCCTACTCACCTCCTAAATAAAGCAGCTCCAGCCAAGAAACAGGTGGTAAGAAAACCACACACAGGCACATTTTACCAGGGATCTGTGGCCATAAGAACACTGACTGCTTCTGTTACTATTAACTCTGCACGTGGGTGCCCCCCTGTCGATCTATCTCTACCCACCTACCTACTTCTGTGTCTGTCCTTCTACCTACCTTTCTACTTACCTGTCTACCTATTGATCATCTATCTGTCATCTATCTATCCATATTTCCAACCGTCTCTTCCCACCTTTTGACTTTTCATGGCTACTGACCTTTTCCAAAGATGGCCACACATCTAAAACCCAAACTTTGAGGTCCCGTTCATGCTATGGCGTCATAAGCACCCATCACGTGTGTGCACATTCCCTGTAAGAGGCTGTGTAGCTAACGTCAGTTAATCCTGAAAATCCAATTATAACCATTCATCAAAAGCATTATTAGACAGACTTTCCCTTTCACTGAAGGAAGAGACCCCAGGCCTCTCCCCTCCCCCATGCCACACACGAGCACACACAGGCACCCATGTACAGCAGGTATGGACCCACGCAGGTGCATTCTGGCAGGTGCACACACATGCGGGCATGCACGCACGTCTAATCAAGGACAATGCTCAATTTCAAACCAGCAAACTCCTCCCTTGTTGACAGATGCACGGCTCACACAGTTCTCTGCACGCCTGTCTTACAGCTGGAAACAACCGCACCATCTACTTACTTGCTGGCCTTTCCACGGGACCCTGGCAGCCACAGATGACACGCTTTGGGTCTCTGAAGCTGATTAATTAACCACGCTCAAAAACTAGCGAGCGTCATGTAACATGGATGCTGGTCTAGCCTCTCATTTTATTAATGACGACAATGAGGCCCACAGAGTTTAAATGACTTTTCTGAAACCGCTTGCTCCTCGGACATAAATGCAGTCTTGTTTCCAATCTAATTCTGTGAACGTTTATAACTGAATACACAATTTCTTCTATTCACTATGTTTCAAAAGGACTAACGAGAGTCACGTCGCCCCTGGACAGAACGCTTGCTAATAATTAACCCACTGCTGCTCCCATCACTGTTTTCTTCCGATGCCCGACTTACATGGTATTCATCAATCTGCCCGAAGACAACCTCACCCAGATACCCTGGAGCACCCCGTGACTCCTAAGAACTGGTTCGTGAATGGGGTTCATGAGCTTTCGCCCTTTCAGACAGTGGTCACACACCTTAATTTCTCCGCTCCAGCCTTGTACCTTGAGATTCGAGCCATAGACAGAGGAACTGACAGGGTGTCTAGCCAGCGCTTCTCATACTTTGGTTCGTTAGCTACGGGCGAGGAAGGTGATGATGGAGCCTGTACAAAATAAAGGAGAGCCAACAGTCACAGAGTCAGTGAGAAGGCACCGAATACAGGGCAGGACCAACACCGTGCCCCGTCCAATTCACATCAGATACACTTCAACTGTTAAAAAAGCATGTGATAATTTCCTCAAAGACCTAGAAAGAAATAAGTGCACTTCTATGTGAATTTAAACTATTTCTTTTTTTTTGACAAAATATGGCACAAAAGAGGAAGGTCAAAGGGGAAAAGATGGGGAGACAGGTGCTGAGTCCAGGAGGCAGGAGGGGCTACCCTGACTTCCAATATCAAAGCAGAGGACTCTGGGTCCAAGAGACAGTATCTATCAGTACTGGTCACATTCACAATGTCCAGGTCACAAGGCCACACTGTCTGGTGGGTGTGGGCACAGTGTGAGGCTGGTGGGCATGGAGAGTGGGCCACTCCTGTGCAGAGCCTGCAGACGACAGGAAGGGGCATGGAAAGTGTGGAACCCGTGCACACAGGTTTGTGACCTGACCCCATGTGGCGGGTGTCCACCAGCAGCAGACTCGGCAGAGGGCTCTAGGCAAGAGGACCCCCAAAGTTCCTGTCTGGGTTCCGGGCGGGGGGGAGGGCGACAGCCACCTGATCCATTTCACTGTGGAGCCCACAGCGAGGATGAAGAAAGCAGCCCTGGGCAGGGGTGAGGGCATCGGCCAGGTCACGGCAGCGCCTGACTCAGCACCACTGGCTCCAAATGTCTAGTTTCACGTAAGCAGCAGACATCAGGTCTGGGGTGTCCCAACGCCCTGTCCTAGACCAGGGCAGGGGACCCAGCAGAGGAGAAGGGGCATGGCGGGGAGTTCCCCATGGCACCTGTGCCTTGCTCTCCACTCCGGGATGTCCAGCTCCTCGCCCTCTTGCTGAGAGAGACGTCTCAGCACAAGAGTCAAGGTCCCAGCCCTGCAGGGAAGCCTGCATCTGCTCTCCTATGAGAACAACATGCAGAGTGAGTCCAGGTGGACCTTCTGGAGCCTGATCTCCTCAGGAAGCTCAAGTGCCCCCAGAGTAAGCTTCACACTTGGGAGCGAATCCCCACCTGAGGGAAGTGCCTCCTGCAGAGAACAGAAGTTCTCAATTCTAATTTCTGCCCCCAATTTAGTATCAGCTTAGTAGCTCGCAGAAGCAACGAGGCATGTTTCCACCCGCTGAACTGAGCGCCGTGGGCTGTACCTGTCAGGGCTCCGCAACCTACATACGTAAGGCAGGAGTTGCAGGACAGCTGCCGCCCACCGCGGGCGACGCCGACGTCAGAGCAGGGAGACACAAAACACGCCCTCCTCCGTTTGATTCCCTGAAGAAGAAAAGGCCGCTCTGAAACCCTGTTGTGTGACTGACCAAGTCCGAGGACCCTCCCTGTGAGCGGCCTCAGTGACTGTGAGACAGACTCTGAGCTGAGTTGGCACCTCGGAGGTGTGTGGCCAAGGCGTGGGGCCGGGGGAGGTGACACCGCGTCAGGACTGGTGCTGCGGGGCGGGGCACATCCCCGCTGTAGGGAGTCCCCGCGGTGACGCGCTCACAGGCCTTCCTTCTGTTTTCCCAAAATGCCACAATGGAGACATTTAAGAAATTCATGGAAAACTAAGTACTTACAATACAAGATTTATAAAATTGGGGGAAGTGAATAAAAGTAGATGAAGATACCTTCCAATATCTCACTCGCCACACACAGGCACAGTGCATGTCAGTGTTTCTGTTCTCTGCACACACATACACTCGAGTGTGACAAACAGCACCTCAGGCTACATTCTCTGAGTACAGCAGAGATAGGACCGCACCCCAAATGCTCGGGAAATACAAAATTCCAAAAGAAAAAATCGGTCCAAGCCTCATCATTCATTTTGTATATTTCCTGATGATCTTTTCCCTATTCTCTCTTTAAAACCTACTTGTGGTCCTACTGCAGATAATCATCATCAAGGGTAGATCAGAAAAGAATGTTTACTGGTCACAGCTGATACAAAGTGGGACTTGAAGGCAGACACCTGAGCCCAGAGGCAGAGAACTTTCTGTTTAATAGAAACTCTGCTTCTGGAAAGTGACTAAGATTTGTTCTATTTATTCTTTGAGTGGGGAGAACTTTCTCTTGCTCAGTAACTCCCTTGGAATGATGTCTATATTTGAATGTCACTTAGCAATTATTAGCATTTGCTGGAAGAGAACACAGTGTCCCTACACTTTACAGGATTACTTAACATGACTGAGGCTCCACCCGAAAAGCAGAGTAAAGCCTGGCCTGAGAAGCTGGTGGCCCCGTGGGAATGAGCGGCAGCTGCGAGGGAATAAGGGATGATTCTGCAGGAACGAGCATCAGCGGAGGCTGTGGCCTGACAGCGGCATCCATAATTCCCCCAAGTGCAGAGGCCAGAGCTAAGAATGAAGGAAGGCGGGCCTCCCGTGCGCTCCTGAGCCAAAAACACCAGCGCCACATCCTCACCTCTGCGGGACGCCTGAATATGTCGTTAAGTCATTTTTTAAGAAAAAATATTATTTTAATACTTTATGTTTAAATAAGAGATTTGAAAGCCACTTTTTAGGTATTGCTGTCATATTTCTACTTTGGATGATTGTGGATTTTGCAATTCATCCTTTAATTTTTAACTGAACTGTATTGAGGCATAAATTTCCTACATGTACGGATGGATGCACAGTTTGATAAGTTTTGTGATTTAGATACACCCCAAGCCACCAGAACCTAATTCCCTATGCCCGTTTGCAGACAATTCTGCCCTCCAGCTGAGGCAGTCGCCGATCTGATTTCTGTCAGATCAGGTACTGTAGATCGGACTCTTTTAGAACTTCTATAAATAGAACCATGCAGGAAATATTTGCATTCGGCTCCATCCAGCAGGAAGTCTGTGAGATGTATCTGCAGATCATCCATCTTCATCCGGGAGCAGTATTCTATTGTTTGCATTCACCTGCTGAAGGATCTGGTTGCCTCCAGTTTGAGGATATGATAAACACATTCCCTGTGCTGTCAGTTAAGTTTGGGGTTTGACTACTGGGCCAGGCTTGCATTGCTGGGATACCTGACCTGCTCAGGACAACTTATCCTTTTGACTTTTTCATATGTTGTTGACCACTTTGTATCTACACTGATGCAGGCTGTTGTCTGTGATGTTCATTACTTATCATACCATTGAAAGGTTCTGGCATGAATATTATCCTGGCCTCGCAGAATTAGTGGGATGTGGGTCTTCTTCCTCTATCCTCTGAAAGACTTTGTGAAGGTCACATATTATTTCTTCGACAGAATATATTGAAATTTGTGAATTTTGAATCACAAATTACAGAATTGTTGTGTTTATCATCCTAAACAGCCCATCATAACCCCGCATGTGATCTTGGTGAATGCTCCATGTTCATCCTACAGGCTTTGGGTGTAGTTCCGTCTAAAAGTCAGTTAGGTTCCAGTTGATTGATAAGGATGGCTCTGTCCTTTATGTCTTACTGATGTTGTGTCTACATGTCCTATCAACTTCTGTACAAAGAGTATTAAAATCTCCAAATATGGTGATGGGTTTATTTCTCATTTCTGCCAGTTTTGAGTTCATGTATTTGGAAGCTCTATTATTTTTAGGTGCATGCCATATTTAGGATTTTAATGTTTTCCTGATGAGTTGATACTTTAATCATAATGAAACATTCCTCTTTGGTTTTGTACATTCTTGTCTTGAAGACTACTTTGTCAGACATTAACAAAGCCACCTTTTTACGGTTACTATGTATAAGACATATATTCTCCACTCTTAATCCCCACCTGTCTGTACCTTTATATTTAAATAATATTTTCAGTAGTAAGGGTCTAATTCGGTCTGATAATTTCTATGTTTTAATTGGAATGTTTGGTTCATTTACATTTAATGTAATTCTCATGTCCCTGGGTTTAATTACATATTGCTAATTTGTTATTTGTTCCTCTTGGATTTTCTTCTACTTTGTTGAGCATATTCTTTTCTGGGGTTAATTTTTTTCATTATTCTTTTTTATCTCCTCATTGGCTATAGAAATCGTTAACACACATTCTGATTTTATCAGGGTTTACTCTGAGTCAATGTATCGCATCACCTCAAACCTCGTATCTGATATGTTTCCCTTCCCACAGTTCACTTCACAAATGTAAGAATTTACAACAGATCAGCTCAGCGTGCCTGGTCCTTACGCTGTGTACTGTTTTTTTTAAAGACTGATTGATTGATGATTGATTTTAGAGAGAAAGCATGCACATGAGCAGAAGGGGCAGCAGAGAGAGAGGGAGAGAGAGAATCTTGAGCAGACTCCCAGCTGAGCACGGAGCCTAATGCAGGGCATGATCATGACCTGATATCATGACCTGAGCAGAAATCAAGTCAGACGCTCCGCTTACTGAGCCGCCCAGGCGCCCTACCCTTTGTGCTATTCTTGCTGTGTCTTACTTCCACATACATCATCACCTCCGCTTTGATTTGCTATCATTCTATCATTTAGCTTTAAAAGAAATTCAGAGAAGAAAAAAATAGGTATTTTATAAACACGTGCACATATTTACCACTCATGGTGCTCCTTACTCCTTCCTGTATATGCGCATCTCCATCTGGCATCCTGTCCTTTCATCTGGAAGATCCTCTCTTAGGATTTCTTTTAGTGCAGCTCTGCTGGTGACATTTTCTTAAGTTTACTTTAAAATATCTGTATTTTGTAATTTTTTAAACAATATTTTCCCTTGCACGTAAAATTATTTTTTTTTAAAGATTTTATTTGTTTATTTATTTGAGAGAGAGAGAAACAGCATGAGAGGGGAGAGGGTCAGAGGGAGAAGCAGGCTCCCCACTGAGCCGGGAGCCTGATGTGGGACTCGATCCCAGGACCCTGGGATCATGACCTGAGCCAAAGGCAGTCGCTTAACCAACTGAACCACCCAGGAGCCCTGCATGTAAAATTCTTAATAAACATTCACTTATATCATTGTTCCTGGGTAAGAAATGCCTTTT